AAAAAGAAAAATTTTCGAACAGCTGTACAAACATAAAATTTATAAAATGTTTCTTGTAATTGAGCTAATTGTTGCATAGTTGGTATTAATTCATAAATATAATCTTCAAGATCCTAAGAATTAATAAGAAATAAAATAAATATAATTACATTTCAAAAATACACTCTTCAAAAACTATACATACCGATTCTCGTAAGAAACCTTGACCAACCATATCATAAAGTGAGAGACCCATTCTTGAATGATGATACCACATTTTTCTCATTGTATATTGATACAAATCGATGATGCGAACTCTGCCATACGGATCATTATGGTATAAATCAGCAAATATTGTATAGGGAAATAAATTTCTAAAACAAAAAATGATTCTATTTACCGTTTTAATCACTGAAAGTAGTTATTAAAATTCGAATATGTGTACATTAGTTTTGATTAAAAAGTTGCATATTCTCAAATAGATTCAATTGTAATAGAACGTTTATCTAGACTAGTATCAAATATACATACGATATTGTTTCACTCGATGACTGTAAAGCACGTTTGAAATCTTCATAATTAATCTGTGGTGAATCAGGATCGGTTGGTGGCGATGCATTCTATTCTAACAATGATAGGAGAGCCTATAAAAGATAAAATCTCCCCACAAATGTCTTGTTCAAATCAAAGAGAATAACTGATATACAACAGTGATTATCGTGAAACGAGAATTCTATGAGATCTCATAGGATCGAGATAAAATTTTCTCAAAGTATTCATCCAGACAAAATGGCACGGTATGAACTATTCATAGGATGAGACGAGACCCGATGAAAATTTTTGCCACGCTCCTAGGATTTCGGCAAAAATATTGACATTTTTCGATTGAAGTTCAAATGAAGTATGGCTGTTGCAGAAGTTTCGTCTAACGTTACTCCTACATCGTCATAGAACTTGTTGGAAGATTTCTGAACATTCTACGTAGAAAATGATATAAATAAATTGCAGCATATGGAAGTTTATGTCAGCTGTCATAGAAAGAAAACGTCCACATCAACTGGTGATATTAGAATCTTGAATAAATATCTGTGTGTAATAGATTTAACTTACAAGAAAAACTACAAATCAAGTTGTCTGTGTGGAGCAGAGACTCTGCTTAATACGAAAGAATTTCTGAGAAAAAAAATTTAATATAGTCCCGTTGAATCTCATAGAATGAAAATTTTGTTATTCCATGACACTCTGATATACAATACATACATTTGCATCTTCACTACTTATTATTTCTTGACTTTTACGCTGTAGAAAGAATGCTTGAGCTTCTTCACGAAGTTTTCGTCCAAGTACATCATTTGGAATCTGAAAAAATAAATAATTTATAGTAAAAGTTATTATTGAGAATGATCGTCTATTGTTCTTAACTTACATGTTCATAAAATTTAGGTATTGGATGATGTTGTTTGAAATATAATTGAGCTAAATTTTCATTTGAATCTTTACTGATATTTAAAAGGGGTGACGATGATGATACTGATTGTTTATTATCTTCATTTAAATATTTCATGAAGAGTTGAAGTTCAAGGTCTAAAATAAATTAAAAAGAAAAAGAGATATGTACAAATTATTCATATTAAAACATACCATTTTTATCTTCTGCATTGCTAGGACTTTTTGGTTGTGCAGCAACATAACATTTTAAATTATTTACAACTGTATTCATCTATAAAAATTAAAATTAAATTTTGATTATATAAACACTCGTTCAGCAAAGACAACAATATTTTTTACACATTCTCATGATAAAAAAAAGTAAAACGAATACCAATATGCTCAGAAGAAAAATCCAAAACTATCTTGGTTTTTATATTGTCAGAACATGAATTAGTGTGAAGATAAATCTTTAAACCATGAGTAATAACAACGTACAATATATCGGCGAAAAATAAACATTAGAAAATGATCATGTTTTTCAATATTTGAGACATTTATAAAAAGTAAAAAAACAAAAACGTGTTCACAGGAAAAAATGAATAAATAAACTTTAAAAAATTTCATTCAGATCTGTCCATGTACCCCATAATGTAGAACACACTAAATGACAAAAATTTAACGGTACTTTTGTCATAAACCAAATTGTTAAACGATTCATTATGCCAGGTATGCATGTTTCATCACCATTAATAGATGATTCTATAATATTTTTGGCTACTCTACTAGCATTTAGATTAACAAATGGAATTTTAAATATTAATGATTCTTGATGAGTAAATGATGTTTGTTGAGTTGGTCCCGGTGTTACTAACATACACACAATTCCTTCATTATCAATAGAAAATAAATGTTTTTTTTATTATTATTTCTTGTTGTATTTCATAGTTTAAAGCTGTTGTAAATAATGTTAAATAGGCTTTTGTCGATGAATAAATAATCGCACGTGGTGAACTCATATACGATATTTCACTTGATACATTAATAATACGTCCTCGATTATTTTCAATCATTTTTGGTAAATAATAATAAATTAATTTTGTTGGAGTTTGAATATGTAAATAAAACATTTGTTTATATATATTGTAGGATGATAATGAAAGAAATTTATTTATATAACCCATACCAGCATTATTAATTAATATATCGATACACATATCAGGCCATTGTTGATAATAATATTCAATATCTTCTATTAATTGATCAGCACCATCTTCCACAGATAAATCTCTAGTAATAATAATAACATTGATATTATGATATTTTAAATGTATTTCATCTGCTAATTCTTTGAGTTTTGACATAGTTCGTGCAACAATAATTAAATTAAATTTTTTTTGAGCTAATTCATGACATATTGAACGACCAATTCCAGTTGATGCACCAGTAACTAAAGCATAAGATGATGGTCTTACTATTAACGGTTTAATATTTGTTTTTGATGAGAATAAGTAACCAATTAACATTAATAAAATATAAATAAATATCCAACATTTTAATACAATGCCTAAGACAGAAGCTGGAAAAAAACATAGAAAAACAAGAACAATAAATGTTTGTTTTGATGACGAAGGAAATAAGTAAGATGTCATTCTAAAAACAAAATTAAAATAACACGACTTCTATCAAAAAAATAAATAAAATAATCGAATATTAAGTTTATTCTAAAAATTAGAAATTATCTAAGAATTTTTAAGTAAACTGTGAAAGATTGAAATAATCCATATAAAAAAAATGATGGTAAAACTGATGAATAAATGAAAAAATCTTCATAATCAGTTCAAATAGATTGAATCTATTGATTGTTTAATATTTTAGGATATATTATAGTATTGAATAAACACCTGTTCGCCAGCGTTGTTGTTGATTAAATCGATTAAAAATTTTTAATCAATTGATTTTTATTCGTTATTATTCTTATGAGAGTGCGAACGATACATGACCAGTTGAACAATGAGACGACATTGTATAAAGTTTAGTTTCTTTGACAGAAATTAAAACTAGATTTTTCTTCTAATTGTATAAAGACAGGGATTAATTGAGTAAAATGAATTGTTCAGTTAATCTTTGTTAATTTCTTTTTTTTTTTGAGGGAGGAGGGGGGATAATATTCTTTCAATTCAATTAGTGTAAAAATTGTGGTAATCGTTGTGTTGTTGTTATTAATTGATAATTACTTCAATAGTCAACATCTCGGCACAACAACTGAGACAGTTTAAGATCTCCAACGCGTTCAGTTAAGAACAAAAAACTACTGAATGATGAATTATTTGTATAATAAATCTCAACAATATATCCTAGCAATCATTCATCATACTCTGGTAAGAAAACTATTGATTTTTGCATTGAATATAACGAAAAAACTTAAATTATAGTATAAAAAAACAAGAAAAAAATCGCATAAAACCAGAATATATATTAATCCATCTATACTTCACGTAATAAACAGATTTATACAAACAGATGATAAAATTTCGTATTTAAGATTATGATATTATTTATAAAAAATGATATTTATTCCACTGAGTTTAATATGTCCATGTACAAGTCACAAAGTGTGTGAATAAGAGTAAAAAAGATAGGAATAGTTAGATCATTATTCTTTTGTTATGAAGCCCCTATTATCTATGGATATATTTTATGTTAATAGTAAAGAAAAGGAACAGAAAACAACAGCAACAGCAACAACAACTAACACAGCCAAATATTATTTTATCAGCCGTATACTGGGAAATGAAAACATAAAACCTAAACCAAATTTTGTATACTGAAGTCCGATTAAATAGGAGATACAAATAAAATTTAAATATCTTAATATATATGTGTGTGTGTGTATGGACATCCATGAGACTCACAACATGAGAGAGAGAGAGCGAGAGAATAAAACTAATTCATCAACTGTTCAAAAATGTATTAGCAAAAAAAAGATTGTGTACAAAATCTGAAACATTAAGTTAGTTTATTTTGTTCAGAGCAAAAAAAAAGAATGATAGATAAATATCATTCTAACATTTAAAAATCAAAAAAAAAAAAAGAAGCATGAGAAAATGTACGAGAGAGATCACCGTTAAAAATAAACAAAATTACACTGAATTACATGTAAAATGAAATGAATACTTAAAATATATTTGACCTGTTCGCTAGGCGACAAGAAATATCCTAAATTGTTTGTCAAAAAACACAGTACAAATTTGATACGAACACGAATATAAATAGAATTTGTAGTCATTTCAAATTTGTCGTTATTCCAAAAGAAATAAAAGATGAGCACAAATAAAAATTCCCTTCTACGAAATTGTAAAACATACAAAACGAGAGATAGAAAGAATAAGATGTAAAGACAGCAGTAATATGTGCATTTAGTCTATAAAATACATTAAAAATGAGAGAAGAAAAAGACGTTCGCGTAAGTTTTGTGGTATGTGAAAATGAGATAAACAAGCTTGAATGTAAAAACCTTCATCATCATTTTCTTTAGTGATCTCCAATCCATCTAAAATAAACAAATAGATACTTTTTTGCAATATAATTACTGAATTATAACGAAACTTGTCCTAGGATCACTCCATAGATTATCTGCTTTTATACTATAAATAATAATATACCTAATTAGGGTTCTGTAGATTGACTACCGCCACGAATGGTTGGAATCGGTGTTGATGTAATGGTTGAAGGGTTCTGCCCTGCTCGTATTGGTTTCACTAAAACAAAAATAATGAGAAATGTACAACATGATGCAAAAGAAAAAACAGTGTAATATACCAATTTGTGCTGCGTTTGTTCGTCGTGCAAGATTACGTTGTCTAACGGCTTCTTTAATACGATCAACTTCACATTGATAACGTTTACGACTCTTTCATTGCACTTTCTTTTGCTTCTTTTAGTGCTTGTTCTAACGATTTAACACGATCCATCGTAGCTTTAAGGCGTTTTTCTAATTTTGGTAATTCACAACGTAAATCGGCATTTTCACGCACAAGCTGGAGAAGTATAGAAGAACAAATCAGTGGGTACACTAAGTAAGAATTAGAAAAAACAACTAACCTGTTTATGAACTTTCGTTAATTGATCAAGATTATTTTCTAAAAATGATATTTTTTGTTTTTGAGCCACACTACCACCTAAATCATCTTCTTCTGCATCAGGCTGTTTTTGTGACTAAAGAGAAAACAAAAGCAATAAAAAATAGAACTGTCGAACTAGCTAAATTTTGTCTAACCTTTTTTAAGCGAGCTTGCAAATCTTGTACGAACAATTTTCGTAAATTATGTAAAGTTTGTAATTCTTTTGCTACTGTTTCTTCCAGACCTTTCAAGTCTTGTTTGGCTTGTTCACGTCGTTCTTGTTGTAAACTATAGAGAAAAAAATATTCTTAGTACGCCTCTTAATGTGACGCCGAGAGAAGAGAATAAATGTGTTTATGATGGCTTCTGTTCTTACACGAACCGTAGTAATCTTGTATTCGTACTTCTGGAAAGTGAACATGTTATCCTATATGTATACTCACTTTATGTATGATCTGTTTTGTTAATAATTATCAGTCTTCCTGCTAATGTTCTGAAAATTCTGAGAATATAAAAAACCAAAGAATATACATGGATAACATATCGATGATAAGTCACTCCGACCTGACCAAACGGAAGAAAATATCTTCCGAGAAGAGAAGAAAAAGTGGCAGGAAAATGTTGAGTATTTTTAGAGAAAACCATTCTTTTCCTTTAAAACATCAATAAAATTTAAACCTTCCTTCTTAAAACGAAAAGATCGTTGTAGAGCAACGTGGCTAAGTCGGCTAGTGGGCAGACAAGTTGTTATATTAAACTGGTGCATCATAACCTCAATGGATTTCCATAAAACGATTTGTTCAAGGACTTTTGGAGCTGTAGATAATAAATTATCAAAACTATTGCATCAAAGATGCGTTGGAGAAACAAACAAAAACTTCACTTTTCTGTTATTCAGAAGTTAAAAGTTTTTTCTGGTAATCAGTAGTCGACTCTGTGTTGGGTTGCGAATTGCAATAGATAAATTTCAAATAAGGTGATAGAGTATATACAGATTTCAATCAATTTGGGATCAATTTCTAATTAAATAAGGGTAAAAAAGAAATCTTTATCGCCTATTTTATCGTTAATTTGGTTAAAACTTCGCGTTTTTGTCAAGCTGCATTTTGTTTACTATGAAAGATAGGTAAAAAGTATTTTCTATTCTACATTTATCCTCAAAACTAATATGATCAATGAATGTTTTCTCTTTCTGTTTTTGTGAGGCGCTAGCTACGAGCGTGGCTCTCTCGTTCTCCCGTATTCTCTAAAAAAATAATCGGATCTATATTTCACTCTCTCTGGTTTTTTTTGTCATAATAAATGACTCCTCACCGATCTAGCTATCTGTAATCACCACTGAGTATCGAAAACAAGACGAATAAACAACATATTACAGTTACGCTAAAGCTAATCAAGTAAATAATTTATGTAAAAACTATTCACAAACGACTCAGCCATGTTGTGGAGCCAGTTGAAAGAGAGTTTGACTGAAGCAAACACAGACAACAGCGACTCGTCAACAAAATTTTGCATAGGGAATGATCGTTATAGTCTAAGTACTTGTCAAGAAAGAGAATACTGAGGCTCATTAACGTATAATTTACTCTTCGTCGTTTACCTGCATTCGCAATTTTATTGAGACATTTTTCAGCTCTACACGACCTTTTTTGCAAAGTTGTAGAGTTTACAAGAAAAACTTTAAATTAATTTTTTCCTTTTTACTTCTGTAGCTTTTGAGCTGACAATGGACATTCAGGGCTTTTCTTGTAAATTCCATAACTTTGCAAAAAAAGGTCGTGTAGAGCTGAAAAATGTCTCATTTTAATCAGAAATTTGTTCGCTACAATCATGCCTTGTTAAGAAAAGTTTTAGTTATGTTTTAGAGTTTCTGAAAAACTGATTTTCCAGAAGACCGGATCTCCGAAGGGCTATGGGGAACTCCCATGATCATATTCTGAATCAGCATGCTCGATAACCTATAACCCACTAGATTTCGATCAAGAAGCGATTTATCACCTCGGGAGGTTCCCTCGTGAGACCATCTTGTTGAAACAAGTCTTTAGGAGCACCATGTTCCTGGAGTTTATGAAGACCCTGGTGTTCAGTTTTTCCCACATAACTATCCTCACAATATTCTGAATAAACAAACTCTACATACCATTGGCTCAATCCATTATGATTCAAATACGCGAAAAATCAAGGAAATGCAGTTATATTTTGCAGTTTTCACCATCAAATTTCAATTTTTGCGCAAAAATTGAAATTTGATGGTGAAAACTTTACCGTAACTTCATATTAAATTTTGAACAGAATCGTTTTTATTAAGCACCGCTATGCTTTATGTAGCTCCTCAGAAAAGTTAATTTAAAAAGTCTCCATAAGGTTATAATGGCACATATATACTTAAAAATGTGTAAAGTCGTTTTTTCTACAAAATCTGATCAAAATTAAGTCGAGAAAGCAGTGGGCCAAAATCAAGGAAAACCAAACCTCTTTCCCCGAAAACAGCGTCAGTTTCTTTTTCAAAATTTGTACAGAGTTCGATCGTGGAAAGAAAGGAATAGAACAAAAAATGACATTTAAATTATTCACAACTCAGGGGGACAGCATCCTACTAAAAACTTCAAGCGCAAAAAATCATCAGCATCATCAACTCTATCTACCCAGAAGATTGAGCTTGAAATTCGCATGGTGGCCGACCGCCTTCGACTATCAGGCAAACGGCTATTAAACTGGTATTTAAACAATGTTCCGTTCTTATACTATTTGTATGTGAACTAAATGGGTTTAAGATCAATCGAAAAAGATGTAAATGCGTTTTACTTTGTCTAATGAAAAACATCAACAGTCTGAGCACTTATACAAAAACTAAAACAAAAAACATTTCAACAATCAAAAGATTACTAACACAAAGTTGTGAACAACTGACAAAAACTTATTTTTTTGCCACATATAACAAAAACTACCAAAATCACTGTATATACAACAGAAAAAGTCACAAAAAAAGGAAGGAAGACATATATCTGACGTATGTATCAAAAGAAAAAAGCCAACAATAACGAACTATTTTGTTCTCAACAACAGCAATGTTCATACATCCTTTCTTTGAGAGCAAAAAAGAATTTGCAGTTTTCGACAAAAGTTTTTATTACCAATGAAATAAAGAATCATTGAACTGATTCAAATGCAGCTTAATACGTTCACAGATTGCTTCAAACTCTCCACGTTCTATCTAAAAATAGAAAAAACGACAATATATTCTCAAAGGCCCGTATGATAGTCATGGCCATAAACACAAAGGTTTTCGCAACTTATTTACTGTACTAGTGAACAAAATGGCAACATCGTGTAATAGATGAGTCACTGTAAACCTAAAAAGTAAGTTATATCACAACTTCTCTTCTTTGTACTTTCGGAGTAACTAAGCCGTGTCAAACAGTTTTTAATACAAACTAAAGCTTTGGGGAACTAGAACTCTGCATTAGAAAAAGAATCACAAGGCACGTTTATTTTCATGTATTATTAAGACTATCATTCACAAAGTTACCTCATATATTCAGCTATCTTCTAAATCATCAACAAATGATAATACTTCTTGATCTGCATCATCAAGAAACTGTGGTTCTTGATTGTAAACTAATCTATACATTTCGATGTATGTATTTCGATGTTTCTTGCGCGCCCTTAATACTGAATCAGCTATTGTTTGTTGAGACGCATCGTGTACGTATGTTTCGCTAATATAGTAATATTCACCACCACGGTTTGAATGGACAAACTGGAAACATTGTTTTTCGATTGGGCTGGTAATTTTATTGGAATGTTCTAAGGCATTTAAAAAAGTTGAAATTTGCGGTGAGATTTCACGATAACTGGTCGAATCATTCACAGCCAAATCACAAGCTTCATAGAAAATTTCGGGATATTTCTTAGCAAGGTATAATCTGAATTTTTCAATTAAAATTCGTTGATGCAGGCGAATGAGCGTGAAGTTATATTGACGTAAAACTTTGATACACTGGCTATTTTCTGATAATGTCTTTTTCATTTCACGTTCATTTCTTTTCATTTCACATATGCTGGTATCTTGTTTGGACAACGTCATTTTAATGTCATTTAATGTTTCTGTTTGACTACTTATAGTTGCAGCTTGCTCAATGATAATTTCGGCTTGTGTTTTTGACTGTTCTGACGACACATTTTGAAGTTGTTCTATTTGCTTTTTAAGAATTTCGAATTGTTCTTCCATTTCTGTTGTACATGATGGTNTTTTCATTTCACGTTCATTTCTTTTCATTTCACATATGCTGGTATCTTGTTTGGACAACGTCATTTTAATGTCATTTAATGTTTCTGTTTGACTACTTATAGTTGCAGCTTGCTCAATGATAATTTCGGCTTGTGTTTTTGACTGTTCTGACGACACATTTTGAAGTTGTTCTATTTGCTTTTTAAGAATTTCGAATTGTTCTTCCATTTCTGTTGTACATGATGGTTTGACATTCTGAAAAATAGAGAAAAAAGCCGTGATACTGAGCTTCACACAGTTACTCGCTTCCACAACGTTTTCGAAAAAGAACCTGCCGATAGAGACAGCATATGAAAGAGAAGTCCATTGCGGACTATCTATACAAGAGTCTAAGGAAAGGATAATGTAGCAGTGGCATAAAAATGCACTGAGCGCTCAAATGTCACCTGCGCTTTTACTCGTTCTTACGGCTCGAGAAAATCGAGGTAGGAACATTGAAAGTGTAAACAAAAAAGAGGGAAAAAACAGGGGTTCTGCAGTTTTAAGCCGTCTGTTCTAGTTCTTTTTCAGTCGATTTAGCTAAAGATGAAGTCAACGAATGAAATAAAACAGGAAAAACAATAAACTGCAGCGAATAACCACCGCTGGTATTCAGATTTTTCGCTTCTGGTTGGAACAAAGGCAACGTACTTTGTGTGCCATAGCGAGTTACAAATCGGAAGTGTGCTTCCTAGTGAAGTCTTCTAAGGCAATGCGAAAAAACCAAGTTACATTTTTCTCGAACCTGAGGTGCAACGAATTTTCACCTGTAGCAAGCGCACAGGTGCTCAAGTTGACAGACATAAAGTCCTAAGGATCTCACTGATGTGGTGTCAAGCATAAACGTAGCCATTTTCTAAAACAACACGTTCTTTCAATGAGAGCTTATGGGTACTTCCATACAGGTCCGCCCACCATTATATGACCTCACAGCCGTGAAGATTTCAATATCGGCATCGTGTAGAGCATAAAAGTTACCCCTAGAACATTAGGCTCGTTTTTCCAAAACCCATGTGAAACATGATTTTCCAGAGGTCCAAAGTTTTAGGGGCACTTTTAGGATTTTCCTCTCAAACACAAATAAAACCCTTGACTACTGTACATGAAAATATGGAGGCACAAAGCCTGAGTAAAATAGCCAAAGAATTAGCCCGATACCTATCCGTGTTTTCGAACAGTGATCGATTTAGTGAAAAAAATTGGAAAGTTTGAGCTCATATGTCTCTCCGAAAATTTTTTTCTAATTATTATCAGAATAGATAGAGCTCATCGAGCTCTACAAAATGGCTGTAGCCGATTTTTGGGCAAACGTCGTCTTCATCATCACCTTGAGCCTCGAAATTCGTAAAATATCGATCACCGTTTAATGATTTAAGCGCGCTTCTTACTCGGTTTGCTTGATAATTAAACAATCCGAGAGATTTTCGAGTTAGCAAAGTCACAATCTTGTCGGCAACTCTCGAAAAGTTTGAGTGTTAAAACTGCTTACTGAAGAAGAATTTCTGTGTGATAACAGTCTTGAAGGCTATGAGACAAATCTTACCATCTTTGCGATTTGTGATGCAACTTCAATATCAACTTGTTCTTGAATAACGTTTTTCTTATTCTGGAATCTGAATATGGAATCGTCTTTAAAACCAAACATAACTTTAACTTCACCGTTAAATTCATCGTACCATTCTTTTACAGTACTGTTTATGTTAAAATCTGGAAAAACAGTTGGTGTCATCTTTATTTCTTCGATATTGACATAGTTCAATTCACACGACGATTTGAGTTTATTCACTAAGGATCCACTTTCAATAAAATTACGAATAGTTGTTGTTGGTTCAACAAAACAATGATCTTCATATTCAACTACACTAAAGCCTATTATCAAAGATTTCTCAATAGTTACGTCGCATTGCATTGTTATATGTTTCATTTCGTCGCCTAACTTCTTGATTTGTTGATTATTTTCGGTGAGCTTGCTAACACGATATCTCTTCTGTAAGCTCTCTCGATAATTCTGATTTCTTTCAGACATTTTATTACTCTAGAAAGAAGAAAAAAATTAAATAATGTTTCTGTTAGACTACCAGAGAAAGTCACAAAATCTCAACATTAAAAAAATTTAAATTACAGCAACCGTTAGAGAATAGACAATTTAAAGCGCCTCAACCAGTGTGGACTTAGCATAGAGATCCATTATCAAAACTTAAACTTATTGTTTCTTTCACTGCTCTACTCGTTTCGCAATCGCAATATCCACCCATTTATTTTACGACATATATACAAAACGCTACGAAAAGCCGCTGACCAGGAGAAAAACAGACAAAAAATAAAGTGAAGATGAGGTGAAAGAATGTCAGCACAAATAGCGAGGAAGGAAGAGGAGATTCCATCAATATCACCGGTATACCTTCTATCCAACTTCCGGAGTAAACTCTCAACATCTCGCACGAAGAAGTCAAGTTCACCCATCGTTGGCAAATCTGCAGTGGTAGAGAGGGGAATTTGACCCTAAAGAGAAGAATAACAGGAAGAAAAGTGAGAGATGAAGAGTTCGGCTTTGTTCGCATCTGTAGAAACAGATTTGGAGCCTACACTCTAAAAAAAAACAGGTATTTTAAAAAACGTTTAAGGGTATAACCATTTGAAACATATCATAACTGTTTAAACGTTTTTCACTTTTATCAGAAAATCCTTTTGAGATTTTTAGAATACGAAAACGCCGTGATTTAAAAAACCCTGAATTGTTTTGGTATTTTAAAATACCTGAAAGGTTTTTTTCTGACATGAAGAAACCTCAACCGTTTTTCAGAACATAACTTAGCCGTATTGTAGAAAACGAAAATTAGTTTTTTGATAAAAACAAGAAACTTTTAAACAGTTATGATATGGTTCAAATGGTTATACCCTTTAAACGTTTTTCACGGGTGGTTATACCTTTTTTTGGTTTTTCTCAAATCGAAAATACCTTTTAGCATTTTTTGAAATACCTTTTTTTTTTAGAGTGTAGAGACATAGATAATCGACTTTCAGAAATTGTTGAATGAATGAATGAATGAATTTATTTTTGTAAAGAACACATAGAAATTACAAGAAAGCTAGAGCTTATTTGAATGTAACACCAGATAAAATAAAAGCTCATACTCACACACACACACACATAGCAAAAATTTAGACAGTAAAAAGATGCTGTTTTAATACAGTTGAAAATGCTCTTAGCGTATTCTGATGAACAACAGTACAAGGCAATTTGTTCCAGTCCTCTATAGTTTTGGGTACAAAGGAACCGGAAGCAGATTTTAGGGTGTGGTTCTTGCGCAGGACCCGTTTGTTATGTGAGTTTCTCTCAGTTTGACGGGTGGATGGACGACTGGTAAGACTGCTATCAGACAGAGCACTGCAACCATGGTAAAGTTTATAGAAATAAACTAAACGTGAAAATTTTTTTGTTCACGTACATTGGTTCGATTTCTGCCAACAGAAATGCGAGAAAAAGATCTATAAATTACAAAATATCCTTAGTGATGATTTCTTGGTTAAGATAAGCTAGAG